TGTTTTTATAGAACTATTACATCATAACCATCTGTTTGGTATCGATTATAATTTCAACCCTATGACATCATGGTCACCATCAGGAAATGTAATTGATAATTTAGTGATAAGTGTCCTTTTTAGAATGATTTAAATGGTCAGGAAATGTATGGAACTAATAATTAGTATTAAACGTTCAGTTTCAGGACTTCATTTATAATTAAAGAGTCAAACAGCAAGTTTTGATTAAGATATCGTCCTTTTAGGACATATAAATGGTAAGGAAATGTATGGAACTAATGATTTAGTGTTAAACGTCCTTTTTAAGATGATTTAATTATAAATGATTTAATTAACTAATAAATTAGTGATTTAAACTAATTATATAAAGTCATGTTGAGACACATATCGCGTGAGTCAGTGTGTCATGGCAGGATGTCATGGCGACCTCTAGAACGTCATAGCTGTCTGTCTGGTATCAAACTATAATTTCAATCTTATGATGTTGTGGTGGCTGAGCAATAAATCCTCTAGTTTGTGGTACTATTATGTAATCATCCATCATGGCCGCCTGTCATGGTGGCCTAGCAAAATGTCCCTAATAATTCGCCATCTTGTGATATGATATGATGGCTGCCTGTTATAACAGCCTAGTAACGCGTCCCTAACGACTGCTCTCTTGTGACAATTTGTAAAACCATGACGTCAATGATGACATCATTGACTCCCCCTACCTGACAAGTACACATTGTAACAAATATGATCATTAAGATTGGATACAAATACACTAAGCACTGTCAAATTGAGAGATGCGTGTTATATTATATATCTACATATGTACTTTGTATAGTGAGATATGTTCTATGGACATCATGAATGATTTATTATAACAGCAAACAAGTTTATAAGACACCTGTAGAAAGATGTGTAATTGAGCATTTCACCTATTACAACAAAACCTTACTAAGACATATAAAATGATAAAATATAACATCAAATTACTATACATAGCTTCTGTAACTTTATATCAGTTCATGTTAAACATTCAATACTTGGTTGGTCTTCTTTGTACTCTAATAACCTCCTCAAGGCGCTATGGCATGCTGTCAATGAGGGTATTGATGTAAACCACCAGGTCATCCAAACTACAGTAGCCAATGTTGGGTCATGGATAGCAATTTTCCGGCTCAGTTCTGCCCAACAGTTCTCAATGGGATTATTATTATCTGGAGACTTTGATGGCCATGACAATCTTCTAACACCCTCCTGGTCGAGATAATCCTGTACCGTACGCGCACTGTAGGCAGTAGCATTATCATCTGGAACAGAAAAGTTTGCCAAACCTTACCCTAGCATGTGGCAGAAATATCGTCTCCATGTAATGCCTGTAGGAGGCGCCATTGATGTTTCCCTGGAGGACATGAAGAGCAGTTTTTCGACCGTTATGAATAGCTGTCCAAACATGTACTGCACCACCTCCTATGTGTTCCCTGTGTGAAAGAAAGTCTTCCCTCATATTTTCTCCATGCAAACGACGAACACGAATCCTACCATCAGCTTTAACAAGCTGGAAACAAGACTCATCTGAAAATATGACATGTTAATTAGTGTCCTAACAGTAAGTTGGCATGCTATCTTGCTCAAGTAACATGGTGACAATGATGAGTTCTGGTTAATATTGTCATAAGGTGTTGCAAGACTTCTTTCTACCTTCATGTGTTAACCTGATCAAAACACGGTCATCTCAGGCAATAGTTTTTCGGCAACTACCAGAAGACTTTCCTGGAACAATGTTTCCTGTAGTCCGATGATGTTTCAGGATTCTGGATACAGTGCACTGGGGATATATTACTCTTCTGGCAATGTCTGTTGAGCAATTTGATGCACTCAAACTTTCGGCACATGACAAGGCCTGACTCAACACCAAGGACAGAGAAGTTGTCTGAACAAAGTATTGACCTGTTTCGAAGAAAATTTTGCCAAAAGCACATCCTTTTATACAAAACAGGTGTGTAGATGTGTTTGACGAATAAATGCTCATAACAACTTATACAGACCAGAATAACAACTCATACATATTTGTACAATCATACACTACATTCTCTGCTACTACTAGGGCATTTACTCAATGACTATTCCACGCATGTAGACAGTAACATCAATATAGAACAGTATGTAAACATTTTGGTCAAGACTATAGTTTGTTCCATCATATGCTTTTATACATCTTGGCCGTTAGTAACCATTGACCCAAAGCATGTAAAAATATATAAAAGCAGTTAGTAGCAAGACAGTCCGTAGTTCCTGGCTTTTTGCAAACGTCATGAACTGAACCATAAATGTAAGTATAGCACAGAGGTTGGAAAGTGGACTTAAATAAGTGAACTTTACAAAACTCACTATGTATTTATGGTAGATTATGACAGTTTCTGCAGACTGCTTATTGAGCTTAATCTATACTCCACTATGGCACAATTCAACTCCAATCTGGCATTAATACAAGGTTATTTTCATCATGCTCTCCTATACAAATATGCAATATCTATAGTTTGGACAAAACTTCTTCTAGGTTGTAATTGACAAATAGGTTTCTTTTGTTTACGTTGTGCAACACATGACATAAAAAAATATAAAGCTGGCTGATAGATGTTTAGTCTGGAACTCTATATTACCAGATAACGCAATTTTTGAAACAAACGGAACATATTATAGGAAAGAAACCTTCTTCGTACATTTGTCGATTGCTTATGAGGATTGTATTATATTGATGAGTCTACAATAAAATGCTGTCTCTTGAATTTCATATAGCGCTTGTATTTCAACAGTACAGTAACAATTGCAAGGCAAAAAATGGCTTGAAGTCCTAGGATAGGTAAAAGAAAGTTGCATTATGGTTTCTGCATTATACATTATGCAAGCTATACTTGCATACAGGTTTTTTTTTCATGTTTTCGCTCAAATAACAGTTTTTAATTTTGAACTGATAGTTAGAGGCAAGGCAGATAGTCAACAGCACCACTCGCTAACTCTTGGGCTAATCGAGTTTGATGAATAGTGAGATTTGACCGTCACCTCATAGCGTAGTTTGTTTTTTTTCCTTCAAGGTATCACTAACCATGAATCCTGAGATTCACTGACTGGGTACCCTAACTACTAGGCCCCTTCCACAGCAAGCCGAGTAAAAAATAATATTAAAATAAATAATCGACATGTGGCTCCCTCTAGTGGTTGTTTTATGAGTTTCTATTTCCTCTGTACGACTGTAATTTTTCAGCGCTAGTGTATTAAATACTCATTAAATTATTTAATAATCAACACATATGCCATGCAGTGTTTCCCAGGATATCCATTTCGTTTAAATCGTTATCTATATACATATAATATACAAAGCAGAAGTGTCATTTGTGTGTTTGCTTTTCATTTCTACACTTTTTGATCGATCTCTACCAAATTTGAAATGAATCCTCAGTCATAGGGATCGGTATTCGGATTTGACTCCCATGACAGTCCTGATGACTACTGTTTATCTATGATCCCAATATATTTTGACTGATTTAAACCGAACTTGGCATGCACCATTAGGGTTCACGTGGAGTGCCATACGGGGTTTGGCATTCACATTTGACCCTCTATGTCACCCCCAGGGTCTCTGTTTGTGTGACTGTCTTTCGCATCTTTAGCTTTTGACCATTCACAAATAAAATTGACTTGCACTTTCAGGGTGCCCAGGAGAGCGTCATAGGAGTGGTCATTTGGATCTGACCACCCCCAAGAAACTCTGGGGGCCAGTGTATGTATGTATATTTGCTTTTTACGCATATAGTTTTTGACCGATCTCAACCAACTTGGCAATGACCCATATGGCCTTCCAGGAGATGTCATAGTTTTTGGGTCCATGTTTAGTCTGACCATCATACGCGTTTCCTGTACTTTTACTGTTCGATTGATCTATACCAAACTTTAAAGGAACCCTTAATGTACCCCAAAGAGATCAGCAAATCTAGAAAAGAAATGGGTGTAGTGTGCGTGAGATTTGCGAACTCAGAGTCGACCTTTTCTCAACTCACGCATCCATGCTCAACAGATTGGAATATTTTGAAGATAATAGCGACCTGAAGTTTTGGATGCGAATTCGCTGATAATTACGAATTTTTTTTTAACGCGAAGTCACAAAATGGGTTATCTGTTCTCTAAGGGGAATAGAACCCTAGACATTAGTATTTTAAGTCAGTAAACATACCGCTGATCCACCAGGGGGACGAAATGCCAATCATTTGAAGTGGTATGATATGCATTCATAAACATATACTATTACTACTTATGTTACATTACAGTATCTTTTGGCCATCAAACATTTCCTACAAACTGGAACAGTAGACTAATCAACAGAGAAACATCAAATATAGGACAGTAATTAGGTCTCTGTACGTGATGAGTATCTAAATAATTTTGTATATATATATAAACGGTATAGCACATGATTTCGTTATAATCCAAGACACAAGTTGATTTTATCAATATTTAATTCAAAAGATAAACGTCGGTAACCAACAAAGCTGAAAAACATAAAATAATGATTTAAATGGTTCGTTATCTTAATCACACAGCTTCACAATGTGCTGTGTCCACCGTACAGCTCCTACTTGACACTATGGCGCTAAAATCCTTCAATCTTGCTACTTAGACACAGAGGGGGAGGGGCAGTTTTAAGCGCCTTGATTTCCCGTGCAAATTATCAATAGAAGGTGATTGGTGAATGTAGCATAATTTTCATCAACCGAATTAAAAAGCAATGAATGTTTTAAAATTTTCTCTTCAATAGCATTTGAGCAGAGAGACCTTGGTTAATGTAAATTAAACAATTTCTTTGAAAAAATAAATACGTTGAAAATTAGAATAGAACATGGAGTGCGTCACGTCTGACTAGAACTGGTGTGGAAAGCCTTTCGTTCAACCTAGCCAATCACAGACGAACCGGTTGACACACCCGTAAAAACGTCATATACGTAAGCGTACGTATGTTGTATACGTGGTATAGCTTTTAAAGACTAGCAGCACCGGTTTAGCTTGTAATTTCTCTTCAAAAATCAAAGTTTAAATCTGAAAATAATCAAGACCGTGTGAAAGAATGTTAGTCGACAAGAAGAAAATGGTAAGACACGTGCTTTAATGACTTTCTTCAACTAAAAAAACCTACTGGGCTTTGAATGTTGTTTTACTTACGAGAAGTGAGCGTAGTACTGAATATTTGTTATATCTCTATGGCCTCTATAATTACACAAGTTCTGCAGTATAACTTTAATTTTAAAATTACTATAAGGTATAGGTAATATGTGTGTGCAAAAGGCGTACTTTATATTTCTTGACATTAGTTAAATACATAAACTTATACAAGATGGCGTTTAAATAGCAAGATATTTACTTATATAGCTTTCCTTCGTAGCTCTTCAACTATATGTTTCGTTTGAATAATCTAGTTTTAAACAATTAAGATTTTTCGATGTAATATTCTGGTGATGTGTGAATGCAGTTTAGAATATGGGAAATTGTAAGTTCTATAAAACATCATCTCCTGCAGTAAAGGTCGTTTAGGTGACTTGGTCGTTTTGCTCAATCGATCGACTTCTGTAAGCAGTATGACGTATTTGTGTGACGTAAAGGTTCGGCTCTTTACACGCTTGCCGTGGATCGATGTCAAAGTGTGTTTTGTTCAGTTTACTATACTTTCCTTTTTAACAAATCACACAGTCTATTCAAAACCTTGGATAACACCAATATACTTCCATAATATGAATTTACTAGTTTCTGTTATTCAGTTTTTTCGTATTAAATATATTATTACTACACTTTCGAATTCTCCTAATTTCGAGAAGTAGCATAAGTATGAAAGAAATGTATATGTAAAGGAAAAAATTTCCCTTCTATTTGTTTTTTGGATGACATAATGATCAGTATAACAACATATTTAAAATAATAAAAATATTTTGTACTCTTCAGACTTCAGATTTTATTTCATCTAATCGCGAGGAGTTACAGGTTATTACATTATTATACATGATATATGTAGGGTGATTATAAAACACAGCTCGAATTTAGAATGGATGTATCATAAAACGTACTTCGCCCAGGGTAAATTTTGATCAGTGATGTTTCTAGGATTTTTTAGTGGGGGACTTGGTAAAAGACGTTAGTATTACAAAACCATATAATATCTCACACCTAAATCGCCTATCTAGCCTTTCTTTTATTTATCTTCTCTTTTTTTCAATAATACGAGATTGGTGATATCTCACAACGTATGAGATAATCATTTTTCAGTAATGGGATGGTAAGAATTCCTCGTTAATGTTTCTTTTAACATCATTTCGTCATATATATAAAATCTGAAACTGACAAAAGATAAAATTACATTATCAGTATAAGTAAAAAATTAAATATTTATCATATATATATATATTTATAATAGCATAAAACATCATATTAAGATTTTAATGATGTGTAGTTTGAGCACACTACCTAGGTAGCAGCTTTATGTGCCTACGTACGTCAATACATATTGTTACGACAGCGGAGGTTACGTAATTCTAGTAACACGTCATGCGCTTCTCGAACGTTCACGTTCCTTCCTGAAATCTCGAGAGCCTACTAGATATGCGGTAGTCTTGTATATATAAACCGGTAAGAACTGACGGCAACAATGTAATATGTAATTGAACTGCTGACAGAGAGAGACATATTGTTGAG